CTGCATTATATTTGAAGAAATTAAATAATGAAAAATCTGCATAAATGTATGGATATTTCTCGTATTGTGATAAAACAACGGTACATAGAGTCATCGAATTTTGAATAACGTAATCCTCCAACGAATATGAGCATGTGGAAGACCAAATTTGAAATTTGAAATTTGTTTTATTATGATCGATTTCGTATTTTTTAAAACTTTGACGAATTTTTGATTAACAAACAAGGATTTCAAAGCGAGCAATGGCAACGTTGTGCAGAAAAAAACATTTTTATCTCCAGCGCGTGAGTCTCTGTATCGGAAATTCTAAAGATATGCTCGTTTCAAAACTATTTTGCGATATTGCTGTTGCACTGGATCTTATGGTTTAAGTGCGAGGAACATGATATTTAATAAAGAAAGGTAACACACAAAATGTTAAAAAACGCCCCTTTGGACGTAATTTAAAATCTGAAACATTTCAGATTTTTTTTTTGGGGGGGGGGAAGCAGGCAAGATGAAAAATTAGCAGACGCCTTCGCCGGGAATCGAACCACGAACCTCTAGAATACCGGCCCAGTGTGCAGAACCACTACACCACGAAGGCACGTTAGGAAGGCGGGAGAAATACCTTATATGGCATTTCACTATAAACGCAGAATCACTTTTTAAATTGTTGCCATCAAATATTAGAGCCCTGTATTACATTTAAAGAAATTAAATAATGAAGAATCTGCATAAATGGATGGATGGATGTTTCTCGAATTGTGATAAAACAACGGTACCTACAGCCATCAAATTTTGAATAACGTGCGTCTCCATTCGAATATGTACATCTGGAAGCCCACATTTGGAATTTGGGATTTCTTTTATTATCTGTTTCATATTTTGTAAAGCATTTAGTAGTTTTTGATTAAGAACCTCAACGATTTCAAAACGAGCAATGGCAACACACTGTACGAAAAAAAAAAAAAAAAAATATTTTTATCTCCAGCGCGCGAGACTGTGTATAGGAAATTCTAAAGATATACTCTTTTAAATATTTTGTGTGCTGTTGAATTGAATTTTATTGTTTAAGTGCGAAGAACATGGTATTTAAGGAATAAAAGCAACACACAAAACGCTAAAAAAGCGCCCCTTTGGGCATAATATAAAATCTGAAAGCATTCAGAGTTGTTTTTTTTTTTACATTTTTTTAAAAGTTTCTTTAAATATAATGCAGGGCTATAATATTTGGTGACAACAATTTTGAACAGTGATTCGGACATTTAAAATAATTCGACGCAAAATGCCGTTTTGAGAGTAATAGCCCTTCTGGGCTAACGCCCATTTGGGCTAATAATAAAAAACTTTAATAATATATATTTAATTTATTTTTAAGCAATTTATGTTAATTTTAAATGCTTAAAACAAGTCCGTGATCGAAAGCGTACACCCTGCCAATCCAGAGGTAATAAGATTTTACGTATCATGAAAGTATATATTGCTTACTAGCTTAAGGAAATTAACCGTTTTAAAAACTAAATAACATTGCTGTTTTCATTTCGCTCAGCTAATATCTAGACTAGAGGGAAGAAAAAAGCGAAATGCCGCCAGTTTGCGAGACATTAAGGTCTTTCATTTATGCTCCGAGTAAAAACACGTAACATATATCAGCACAAAAAAGGGGCAATTCAAAATCAATACGTATTATTTATTTCAATAATGATTTAAAACAAGCTTAATTAGTGTTTATACTCTTAATACAGTTAAAAAAATTTTTGATCCACTATATTATATTTTTTCACTGCAGAAATCTCTCTAACACCACCACTTGCCCACCAGGACCTGAGCTCTACCAGCTGCTGAACACTGGTTGTTGAAATTATTTCTTTTTCCCTCCGATGGAACCAATTTTTCTTTTATTATTTATCGTCTGTCGCCGACTAGGTCACATGACTGGCGGCAGAGAAAGAATGCAATAACTCTTTTAGTTAAGCTTGAGTGCGACGCTTGAAATGATCTGTTCTTGGCCGCATAGCGGTAATCAACAATTATAATAATTGTTCTTGATAAACTAATCTTGGCTCTATGATGGGAAATTTATATTATATGCAAATTTTGTGTTTTGAATAATGTAAATAATGTACAAAAGCTCTTCATTAAATATTTCTGTGTTTCAACTGGAAGTTCTTATTTTCAAGTTGAGTCTTTACGTGGAAATGGTATATTGACTCTTGATTATACTAGTATATTCTTGATTAATTTGATGTCTCCCAACTCGTGAAAAATAGAATCGTGAATTCGTGAGCATAATCGTGACAAGTTTTTATACACTGGTAGTTCGGTTCGAGATTCGAGTCAGCTATGGAGCTAACTGCATAGGCTTTTTCATCGTTTTTCCAATGTGTAATGTGACTACGAGCCAATTTTCCTTAAAACGTACTCCATGGGGCATGCCTCCTTTTCCTTATTGTGCCTAAAGGCGGAATATGTAATAAATAAGTAAAATAAAAGTACTACTACCTATACACTCTCGTTTGGGGTGTCAAAAATAAAAATTCATTTTGTAGTTCTGTAAATTCTAAAACCTTATTTATAGCAACATGTATTACGCTATAGCTGCATACTCTTATATGCGATGATGAAAATGGAACGTCGTTGAAAATTCTGAGAACATTTAAGAAATTCAAGAAAGGATAACAAATGTTATAAGCTGAGTACTACACCAATGGCGATGTGTTGTAAACCTCAATAGAATCTGGACATCTGTAAGAGGTGCGAAGTATTCCATCCTTAAAGTACAATAGTATTGTATTCTGTACTGAAATTAGACATGAAGTGGGCAGAATCGTTTTTTTACTATCACCTTTGTTGCCCAAGATGCCAGTGGAGATAATGATTCTGACTGTTCAAGGACAGATGTAAATTACTATGATAATGCAAATGAACTTTCCCGTGAGTATTCGTTAGGCTTTTCAGTTTCACTAATGATAAATAATAAAATTGATTAGTTTGTTAATTGATTAATACAAAACTCAGGGAACTATTTGCCTAAGAAGGAGGATGTTTTCTCGAAAGACTTTCATAGGGTAATTTACTCATATTTACGTTATACGTGGGAAAGCTACGAACACGCATGAGGCCAGGCTACTCGTAAAGATCTGAAACCGGATTGAACTATTAGTGTTTAGAGATTTTATCCATTCATTCACTGATCATAGGTCCTTAAATTTCTGGCAAGGATTACTTAACGATGAATTTGTGACTAAAGAGTACATAATAAACTACATATTCTACGGCAATGTAACAGAATTCTGCTTGTTAAAATTTGAAAAATCTCAGCCAGGTAGCTGGTTTTTATCGTATTATGTTCTCCCTGGAAATATAATGTCATGAAGTTGAAGTTGTTGCTAAACCGTTCGCCGAGATTTAACAGCGGATATTGTAAACCACCCGTTTTTCTGTTCCCGAAAGTAAGATAAAGAAAAAAGAGAGAGAGAGAAAAGAGGAAAATTCTGAGGCCCATGTTCAAGTCCCGGAGAAGGTATGGATGTTTGTAAAATTATAGTGTCTGGTGAGGCATGGGACACTCATAATATGAGAGAGGTCTCTCGAGAGGTTGGTGTTAAGAGAAGACGGGTGGGAGATTCTCGGACCTGTCACCCAGATCAAGCCCTGCTCACCCTGTCACCCGGGTGTTACCTCTCCTTCAAATCTGGGGCAAAACTCAGCAAAGTCGAACAGTCACCACCATGGTACTCAAGCCTCTGGCCAATGGCAGACGCAATCTAATAGACGCTTGCCACGATAATAAATCGTAGGCTTGTTCTGATTCAGACAATTGAGATTAGTAACAACAATAATAAACCTTGGTTCTTTATGAATTTAGTTTCAAGACTTTTATGCACGTATTCTGAAGACGGTTATTACTGCAATGCCTTTAGTTATCACACTTAAGCGCTTTTTTCCTATATACATCATTTTTTCACACCATTTTTCATTACACATTTTTTCCATTATACACCAATATAAGCTAAATAAACCAGATTATAAAATATCTATTAGTGTAAATATATCACGATACAGTGTTTGGTTCCTTCTGTATAATTTCATAGCTTTGAGAGGTTTAAAATGATGTTCTGTACTCGTCCTATATATGCGCTTAATATGAAAGAGCATGCAATAAAATAATTCATCCTTTACAACCTTAACTTCAATTTTAAAAAATTTAATTGTTGTTCAGAGTGTAATTGATAACTAGACTGTTTAGTTACCTTTTTTCTAAAATAACTTCAACGTGCTATGTTAACAACACGCCAAGTCATAAACCAAATATATGCAAGATATTTTTCTTTCTGAAATGCCTTCAAGAAAGTGAAATTCTCTTATATGTGATATCTGATCTGTACTATATCATCTCGAAAACGAAGTGAACTTCAAAAACTAAATAAACATTATAAAAAACGCTTTAATGAAATTTAAGCATTATACAAATTAATATGTACCTCCATTTCGAGTGTACATATTATTTTGTATAATGCTTTAAGGCATTAAAACTATCGCTGGGCAGCTTCATGTAATTGATGACGCTCTCTAAATGAATAAACGATGTTAAGTGGCTTATTTTGAAAAAAAAAAAAAAAAAAATTAAATGTATATATATTATTACTATGAGCGTATAATAATAAAAATTTGAATCTATAGCGTTCTTCGGTTAAAGAAATTTGAATATGGATTTAAACTACATTAGTTTTACTTTTAGACAACTCAAGTTATTCGAAAAAGAATAAACTATTCCACAAGTTTTTAATTAGATAAGACTGCTGAACACTAATTGAAATGCGCTTTTATCCTGGCGAACGGCATAGCAGCATTAGAATTGAGGTTTTTACCATGTGTGACATGAATACGAGTCAATTTCCTTTAGGAAGTATTTCGCAAAATTAGATTACGCTAGCGTGCTTTTGAAGGTCTTTTACAGATAATTCTTGCGTGTTTTGCCGTATTTGACTAAATAAGTAAACAAAATTTAAACTCACTTGACATATACAATCCAGGCATCGTTGATCCACTTCTGGGACCTTTACAACCGGAGGTTTAACTCTTCTTTGAGCTAAAAATACAAATAGCAATAATAAAAGACTATGATCTTCGTATTACATACTCTTATAATTATATATACTAATTAATACTAGGTATACTGTTCAAAAATTTCGCAGAAGGGACACTGACGGACACGAAATTTGCAATAGCTCAATCTGGCTGTAAGGGAGAGTTAACATTCTTTCTTTAGAAGAAATGCATGTCGTGGCATGCTCTGATAGAGCATAGTCTATGTTCTAACACAAATGAAATTGAAATACAGTGGGTATCATTAATTAAGGAAAAATCACAAAAATGACAATTACTCAAAACGTTACACGTAGACTTTAATGAAACTGAACAACACATGATTAGTATAAAATTAAATGAAAAGAAATTACCAGACAATTATGGGGTTGTATAAATTAGCATGCTTCTGCAGTACAGCACATACAGCGATGTATGGTGCTGTCAATTATCCGGTCAATCAGTTCTGTATGAAGTAAAAGCCATTGCTCTTGCAAAGCATTTCCAAGCGTGACAAGGGTCTGAAGAGCAGGATGGAAAGGAGCTGTACGTTTTCCTAGAGCATCTCAAACATGCTCGATAGGATTCACATGCGGGGATCTACCTGGCCGCTCTTAGCGCAGAATTGTTTGCTGCTGAAGATAACCGCGCATGTTGTGTGCCCTGGGAGGTCTAGAGAGCCCTGTGCGATCAATTTTCATTCTGCAGTTTTACTCAGCAACTCTTATTTAACAAGATATTCAAAATTTATACAGACTGGCTTATTATTTTGGACAAGTTATCGCTATTTTTGTGATTTTTCCTTAATTTTTGGGAACTAGTGTAGTTTTCGACCTTACGACGCAATGCTGTACTTTGAACAATGCGAGTTGAGTAAAGAAGCCTGAATTTCATTCAATAGAAATAAACCCTTGCATGCCTCAACCAGCTTTTAAAAATGGGTGTGCAGAGCCAGCATTTCCAGTCAATTCAAGTTACCCAAATGATGCGAAGGTTAGTCTATGACAAACAACGAAACACATTCTACTAATATTCCAAAACTACCTGGAGCGGGTATAAATGGTACTTCAAGGTGCTATCTGACAGACGCTTCGAAAATACCTAAAAAATATTTTTTTCCTTTTCGAATAGAGCTTACCTTACGAACATTTCTCACGAATTTTTTAAATATAGGAATATAACATATGACATGCATGCGTATTTTAAAAGAAAGAAAGCTTAAATTTAACATAGCAAGATGTCTGATAAATCACTTCCTATTTTTAAACGAAATATATTCTCTATTAATGATCCATATAACGATTCCCTGTATATTTTTCCTTATAACGAAAAATAACTTATGAAAATTATTTTTTGCACTACAGAACAGACAAAGAGTTTATGTATCAGGTACGATAAATTTTAGAACTGGAAAACTGTCCTTTTATGGCTCTTCAATAATAACTGAATTTGCATTCTCTGCTTCCTTACATACATACTTATTATTGCGTATACGTTTGATAGCGGAAATTGTAGTGGTAAATCATTGACCAAAAGGCAAAGAAAAAAATATAATTCAAGGTCGGTGTTTCTTCCTGTTTTTTAAATTCCGAAATTTGTAATTTGGGAAATTAAGGAAAGTACGAAAATAAATATAATAATAAAAATAATTAATAAAAATAAATATCCGAAAGGTTCCGATTTTAATTGTCTCCCAAAAGGGCTCTTTTAAATTTTAACGTGGTGCCTCAACAGAGATTACCAACAGATAAGAGTTGTTGAGTAAAACTGCAGTAGAGATGGCCTAGGTGGAATAGCGAAATATTTTATGGGGTACTGGATGAATATGCATTTAATACATCTCCTGTGTATTTGAAAAGTGGAAAATATATAATGCAATTCTATAAAATATTTAATGTTTTTAATTAGCTACATAATGAATTAAATGCATTTTTATTTAAATCAGTCAGGTTAAAAAGCAACAAAATAATATTCTCAGTAGCTGCATCTATTGCTTTTAAAGAGTTTAACCTTTTATTAAGTCACAGATAAATTAAATTTGAAAGATAAGTATCTTACTATTTGCGGAATAACAACAGTCTCGAATGTAAAGTGAAACAACGTAAAATCATGTTTCAAGATTAATAGCTTTTTTAGACTAAAATACCTAAACAAGAGTACTGTGGAAACCAGAATTACATCTGAGTTTTGATGGCATGATGAAGAGTTCCTCGAATAAAACTCAAATATTTATGCCGTATGTTTTTATGCATTTTACAACGAACTTTACAAACTGTTCCTAAGCATTTTAGTCGACATTTTAAAAACAAGGCGAAAAGAAAAAGGAAAACAAGAAAGCACAAAATAAAATAGGTTAGGTTATTTAATTACGGCAAAGCCTCGAGGGCTATCTGCCTAAGGGGTGGGATGCCTTCGTGGAGGACTTTCTAAGGGAAACTGGCTCGTATACACGTTACACACGGGGAAAACCACGAAAACGCCCATGCAGCCAGCCCGTTTGCGGGATTCGAACCTCGGACCAAACTACCAGTGTTTAGCACCTTTACCGCTCGGCCGCTGGTGGGCTTAAAATAAAATAGATTAATATGCATACACTAAATATACATACGTTGGTGTACACGTATGTATATGCAAATAAAAATTACATCATATATGAAAATTTTAGAAAATTACTCTTAACAGAAAATTTTAAGACGGTTTCATGTGGCTTACATTTTTGTTGCGGATTTATGCCTCTTTAACCATCTTTAACAAACTTATTTTTGAAAAAAGCTATCTGATATTTACTTCATATCGAAACATCTCATACAACCTGCTCATTTGCTGGGATATGAACCCTAACAGGGGTCAACAATATTACCGCTTGGCCACGTAACGTAGCGTAACTTAATGCAACACCAAACAGGTTAGAAAACATAACACACATTTCTAACGTTTATATATGTTATCGGCAAAGTAGGAAAAGCCGATATTTCTAAGAATGCCTAGGAATTGTATAAAATGCCGGACGTTTTAGGCAAATGAAATGTGGCAAATATTACATAATTTCTTTAGGAAAATCATATAATACCTAGGCATTGTATAGAGTGATAAATACTTATTTTGGCAAAGTATGAAATAAGTCCTGATAAGGCTAATATATATGTTACCGGCAAAGTATGAAACGCCGGCATTTTATAGAATACAAAACATAAAAAATATGCTAATATATTGCGCGATTCATCTCGCCCTTTGTCGACGTCAAGAATAGTAACTCGCACAGTAGTTTCTAAAGAAGAAGCGGGAAATTGTTTTTACGAATTCCTTTTTATTTTTATTTTTATTTATTTATTTATTTATTAATCCAAAGGGATTTGAATCCCGAAGGACTATTAGTTTCGTTTTGGCATTTTGCGTCGGACTCATAAATGTCGGTTCACTTTTCAAACTGTTGCCATAAAATGTTAGAGTCCTGCACTATATTTGAAGAAATTAAATAATGAAAAATCTGCATAAATGTATGTATATTTCTCGTATTGTGATAAAACAACGGTACATAGAGTCATCGAATTTTGAATAACGTAATCCTCCAACGAATATGAGCATGTGGAAGACCAAATTTGAAATTTGAAATTTGTTTTATGATCGATTTCCTATTTTTTAAAACTTTGACGAATTTTTGATTAACAAACTCAAGGATTTCACAGCGAGCAATGGCAACGTTGTGCCGAAAAAACATTTTTATCTCCAGCGCGTGAGTCTCTGTATCGGAAATTCTAAAGATATGCTCGTTTTAAAACTATTTTGCGATATTGCTGTTGCACTGGATCTTATGGTTTAAGTGCGAGGAACATGATATTTAATTAAGAAAGGTAACACACAAAATGTTAAAAAACGCCCCTTTGGACGTAATTTAAAATCTGAAACATTTCAGATTTTGTTTTTTATTTATTTATTTATTTGCTTATTTTTTTGGCAGATTGATTTTAGAATTTATTTTACCTTGAATAGCATTTTCAGTTTTGAACCAAAGGGTGCACAAAATATCCATTTCATCATCTTTACTAACGTGCCCACAAGAAGGTATGAATTTTTTAGTCCAAAGGGATTTGAGTTCCGAAGGATCTATTACTTTTGTTTTGGCATTTTGCTCGGACTCCTATAAATGTCAGTTCACATTTCAAACTGTTGCCAAAAAATGTTAAGAGTCCTGCATTATATTTGAAGAAATTAAATAATGAAAAATCTGCGTAAATGTATGTATATTTCTCGTATTGTGATAAAACAACGGTGTCTAGAGCCATCCAATTTTGAATGACGTAATCCTACTGCGAATATGGGCATCTGAAATCCCAAATTTGAAATTTGGAATTTGTTTTATTATCGATTTCATATTTTGTAAAACTTTAACGAATTTTTGAGTGTTACTCAAAAAATCGTTAAAGTTTTTGAGTTAAAGTTTTCGAGTGTTACTCAAAAATTCGGTATAAAAAATTCGTTAAATGTTTTAAAAAATTCACGCTTAGCAACACTCTACGAGGGAAAAAATTCTTTTTATCTCCAGCGCGTTGAACTGTGTATCGGAAATTCGAAAGATATGCTCATTTTAAAATTATTTTGCGACATTGCTATTGAACTAAATTTTATGATGTAAGTGCAAAGAACATGATATTTAATAAATAAAGGTAACACACAAAACGTAAAAGAAAAAAAAAAAAAACTGCCCTTTGGACGTAGTTTAAAATCTGAAAGATTTCAGATTTTTTTTTTTTTTTTTTTCACATTTTTTCCATGCAAATGCATCACTCGTTTCCTTTAAACACACACAAAAGGTTTTAGAAACGGAATGTGTGAAATACTGGACGAATTGATATACATGTGATATTCGAAACGAATGGAAGATGTATTTCATACTTTGCCGGTTTCTCATATAGCATTCTATACACTGCCTAGGAAATGTATGAAATACGAATCTTTTCATACTTTGCCGGTTAGTTTTAGGCATTCTATTTAAAATGCCGAATTTCGAACTTTGACCGTAACATACACAATGCTGTCTAATTACGTGTGGTTACGGAACGAGAGGAAAAAATAAGTTGTATTGTCAGCTTTTATAATAAAACTGACGTGTTCCTAAATTAAATATTACAATTCTTCAATAAAAGACAAATTAAGCACGTACTTATTTAATAGTCAACCTCAAAGTAACTATCTGCGTTTGATTCAATTTGTAATATATAGTCAAATAATAATAAGAAAAGTAAAAAGAAGAAAAGGCAAAGCACAGTTTGTAAATAATAAATGCAAACAATTTTTTGGTATGTGCATCGTGTATCTATCATATGAATTTAAATGATATCCTGTACATGGTGTCCTGTGCGTAGTGTATAAAATTATTTTTATTTTTCTTCAGAAGTATTTCTGAGATTTTGAGCTGTAGTTTATTCATGTTTTTTCAATAAAATTAATTCTTGATAATAGTTTAAGTTATAAAACGTTCTGAGGATAACTACGCAATTTAAATGGCGTCCATATTTTGAACTTCTAGGTGGCTTATTTTAAAACTATATTATTTATAAGAAAAGTTAACCTATTTGTTAAAGAAAACCTGTTTTGCTTGGAAGAATGTTATTACGAAAACATGTTATTTAAATAGCTAGTTTCAGGTGAAAGATGCATAATAGCCGAAATTTAAGAATATCCAGAGATCGAATAACTGGGATAAACTCTGTGTAATAAAAATCTATCGCATATGTTATCTACTATTTATGTTTTGGGTAAGGCTTATGACTGATAACTAGCTATTAGGGCAGTAGAACTTCATTATCTGAAATTCTGTTATCCGAACCACTTGTGTGGTCAAGTAAAGTTTCTTTTGGTGCAAATTTATTTGTTTTGAATTTAATTCTTCATAAGAATAGTAAAAGAAGATATGATCGTACAGTGAGTACTTTTAATAAACTATGAAAATAGGTTTGATAAATATATATAAAACTCAAGTGGCCTACAACTTTCGAAAACTGTCTAGCCTATTAACATTTAAAGTTTGGTTTAATTTAGTTGATTATTTCAAAGCATACTAAGGCTATCTGCAATATCTAAGGAGAGGGATGCCTTCGTAGAACACCTTTCTAAGGGAAACTGGTTTTATACACCACGAAAACGTCCATACAGCCAGCCCATTTGCCTGGAATCAAATCCAGGTCCGAACTACCAGTGTCCAACGATTTTACCGGTCGGCGGCTAATGGGTATTAACATTAACGGATATGGCATTCTGTATAACCTAACGTGAAAAGTTAAGTTTATAAATTTAATTTGAATTGAGAAAAAATAGAGTATATGTTTCGATTTGCAGGGGAAAAAATTATGTGTATTGTTAAATTTTAGTAGAGTAAAAATGAAAACGAACTTCTTATTTAGTTTTAGGATAAATGATAACTAATTTGAGAGTTTCATTTGAGTTAAAATAAAAATAAATTCTGCATTTGAAACTGGCAAATAAAAAGTAACTTGATTGTTCAATTTCGATCGAAAAGTGTAATTCATAACTTGTTTAACAAAAATAAAATTATTTGATATGTTTTCAATTACATAATATTTCTTTAAATAAAGTATGTGATAGACAAGCGAAAAAGTAAAATTCTGTCATCTACGTTAACTGTATTAAGAACATGCATTTGATCTGCAGAGGAAGAGAGGTAAAACGGAAACGGATGAAAAAGAAAGAAAAAAAAGAAGAGAAAACTTAATTTCTTATATTTTTTAATATCCGGAAGGAGGGCTGAAATCTTAAGCTGATCTGGATTATTGTGCTCTTCCGCAGGGAAGAATTTAGAGAATCAAAATGTACTATCGGGTTTTCGATAGCACGGCGGAGGGGGCCAGTGTCGCTGACCCTAACCACAGCTTTCTGAAAGAGCATACGTAATTTTATACAATTATACTTACCAGAAACTACTGTAGCTGTTAATATGCAGCAAAGCGTAATCGCTACACAGCGATCCATTCTTCTATATAAGCGGGAAAGGGAGAAGATACTTTATATTCGTGGTAAAAAAGATGCGGTTGTCTTTGACCTCAAATGAAGTTCTGCTTCCAGTTTCGTGCGGCAGCGAAATGATTTCGCTTTTTCGGGGAAATTCTTAAAACATCCTGAGGAAGCGACTAGAGGAAAGGAGGCAAGGGAGTGGGGGAACATCAGATGAGCTTTCCGATTGGTTGGTTACTTGTGGAATGTGTGTGGGAAATACATTGGAAGCATTGGGCAGGTAAACAGGTCTGTTAACTCTAAAGCTGGTGAAAGTACTTGTTTTTTTTTTTTTTTTTTTTTTTTTTTTTTTTTGTAACCGTAAGACAAGGTAAGGGTCGGGACTGAACTTGGACTCGTTATTACTCGGTGTGACGTCTGAACTTGGTTTAGTTACTGCTCACAGTGACATTTCAGGTTTTATAGAACTCAGACTCTGTAGTATGCGATGTTGTAAGAAAAAAAAAAAAAAAGTCTTCCTTAGTCTTGCTTTAAATCAAGGCTGTTGTAATAACAGCAAAATTTGGTTGCGGGGAGATAGCATACAAAGCATATTATTCATATATACGTACGTATATATATATATATATTAGCATAACTAAAGAGGGGAGATAGAATGTAAAGCATATTATACATACTCGTATATACATATATATAGTAGCTAAACTAAAATATATATTAACATATGTACTTCAGAGGCATTTAATCACTTTTTATATAAGTATAATTACATTTCATGTTCATGTCATTTGATTAGGCTTAGCAACAACAGCTGTCGTCCTTGCTTTTAGGTCCGAATATTATCATATCTCGGGGGACGCATATGGTATTCGTTATTATTTATTTATTTTGGTAGGCAAAGTCAAAACTTCCTTATAAATTCAAGTTTATGGATACACAAGACTGTTCATGGATACACAAGAGAATAAGAACGCAAAAGAACACGGTTAACTTCTTCAACACGCATCCGTGATCTCCAGAGTAAAGTGGCAGTTGAAACATGTTGAATGAGACATTTTCTCTATATGGCAACCACTTGTGACGGCTACTGTATTATTTCCTTACAGCCTTTTGGGAGAATTTTTGTTTTGTAATTAATTCACAGAATACAGTCATTGATTGCAGCATTTACTAGTACTGTATTTGGATAGATCGAATGGGCCCACCAGCGACCGAGCGGTAAAGTCGCCTGAACACTAGTAGTCCAGTTCGGGGTTCGAATCACGGCGAATGGGCTGCTGCATAAGCATTTTCGTAGTTTTTCCCGTGTGTAAAGCATATACTAGCCATTTCTTCTTAAGTCCTCCACGAAGGCATCCCTTCCTTTAGGCAGATATCCCTTGTGTGCTTTGCCGTAATCAACAAAATCAAACCAAACCAATGGATCGAACGGCTTAAGTCTCCCAATTTAATCTTTCGTTGCTTTTAACACTTTCTTTTCTTTCTTTCCACCGACGGCGAGGCAGCCGATCCTATGGGGAAATTGGCATATCGGCCAGATAGCCCCACTTACGGAATTAACTTGGTCCACATAACACACTTTGTTGCGTATTGTGCTCAAGACGAGTGCTGGCGGCAGTGCTAGGCGAATCAATGGTGCAATGAATGGAAGAAGAGGGCATTGCAGGTGGGGAGAACAATTTCAGTTTCACATTTACAGAGTTATAGATGGGTGGTTACAATAGGCATCTACAACGTGAACAATAAATGAATACTGTGAATTGTCAAATACAGGTAAAATATAGCTGTCAAATACAGTGCTTTTAACACTAAAGTTTTTGAACGATTAAAAAGAGTATTAATATTTTCTGTTGGCATTCTTGGCCAGGCACAGATTAAGCCATTCGGTATTCCTGGTTATAAAATTTATAGAGCCCTGAGAAAGTGTTTAAGCACCTAATTCTAGATACGCATGTTCAAATATAATAAAAAATTAAATACACATAATTACTTAATATTTTAATAAAACAGTAACTTAAAATTTTTATTTCTAAATATTGTTACCTTATTTTCTCTCTCTATCAAGCCTAAAATGCATAAGAAATGAAACTTACGTATAAAAAAAAAGTATTCATGCAGAAAGAATTATAAAATCCATCAAACTACTAAAAGCATTTAACATAATTAAAGAAGATATAATACTTTTTTAGTGAATGGAATTATAAAAACGATTACTCTGAGAAAGAAATTCTAATTTTATCAGAGAAGGCTGTAAGCTGCTCGTTTTTGATGTGGAAGTTGAAGTAGCTGCTAGGCTACTAGGTAGTCTTGCTAGGCAATATTAGGGACGACTTGTGCTACTGACAAAAACACTACTTATGGTTAAATTAAACAAAAACAGTCAAATAAATTTAAAATGGTGATAAAATAGTCTAAGACTACACAGGCAAATAAATAAGGTCTACGCGGGCTCAATTAATTTAACTGGTGCATGAGATTAAAGTATTTTCTGCAAGAGAATTTCGTAGCCGGGATAATCACTTTTAGATAGAGCTGGCGAAATTTTAACGCCGCAGTGGGAGTGCCAGAAACTCTCTTTCTAAGGTACTGATTGCTGATGCTGAGTATGAAGTTGCTTATGTGGCCCCAGAAAGGGCCTTAAAATGCTGAATAAGAAGATTAAGACACTGAGGGCACACGACTTTGATGAGCTAGCAGGTGAAACTCCAGGAATGGTCAAGAAAGTAAGGCAAATGTGAGGAAACCATTGTCCCCTCTACTGCATGTGTAATGGAAAGCGACGAGCCAAAAATCACGCAGCGTAAGAAAACAAGTAAACGTTAGCAGTCAAATAATATAGTCAAATATTTTGAATAACATACGTCTCCACCCGAACATGGAAGCCCAAATTTGGAATTTGTTTTATAATCTATTTCATATTTTGTGAAGCATTTATGAGTTTTTTATTAATAAACTCAACAATTTCAAAGCGAGCAATGGAAAACATTTTTATTTCCAGAGAGCGAGATTGTGTATCGGAAATTCAAAAGATATGCTCTTTTAAATATTTTGTGATATTGCTATAAAATTGAATTTTATGGTTTAAATGCGAAGAACATGATATTTAATAAATAAAGGTAACACACAAAACGTTAAGTAAAACGCCCCTTTGGGCGTAATATAAAATCTGAAAGCTTTCATACTTTTTTTTTTGTTAAGATGCAGTTGAAAATGAAAGAAGTATATAAAACAGTAAATACCAAATAGTTTTCCACTGAGACAAGAAGTTTAGAAACCTTTTACACATTTGAGAAATGTACATTTACTTTCATTTCTTGTATACTGGTTTCATACCTGGTTCTGACAATATTACAGTCCAGTTATTTTTACTGTATGCATGGGATGTGTACTAAATTGTCTTCGTAATTATATTCTAGAACCATCATATCTTGTCTTACGACTATTCATTACCATTCTTGTCCTGCCTAAAGTGCTAGGAAACGATCCGAAAAACCGATTGATTAGGTTTTTATCACATTTGACAAAACACAGACGGTTGCATTAAATTCATTAAAATACATGTATGTTAATAATACAAATAATAAAGAATCTAATATCATAATTGGTATTTAATAAGATTGTGTAATTAAGTTCAGATAGATATTTATACAGGAAAATTATATTGGCATGCAGAAAGGAGCGGGACAATACCTTATACCTTAAGAGATACATATGTCGTAAGAAGATTATGAAGCAGCGTGCAAGAAAATATCACAATCTGCAGCAATTTCACCAGTATTTGTACATCATATTTTGCTTGAAATTTCGTAGGAAAGAAATTTTAATGGCCACGAATCCTTCATTTACTGATGCAGCTTTTTTAAAACGAAGATTTTCTTTTACAAAGCTCAAACTGCTACCAAGCCGGTGGAGAAATCCTCCCACCAGGCAAAATCCAAAAAATTCGAGATACGCTATCATAAATTATATGACTGGTTATCTTTGGATGATGGCTAGCATTGCTAAATATTTATTACAAAAATAAAATTATGTGCGAAGAAAAGTGACTAACATATTACTGTGAGTCATTGCGAAGATTGTGCAAAATACGTTACAAAAGCAACCTGACTTGCTTAAATATGGGAAATTCATTCCGAACATTAAAGAACATCCGTATGTAAGAATGTTGAGATAAGTCCAAATATGAACAGGAAATTTTACCTCAGTTGGCAAAATCTGTACAAGAGTCCACCAGACTTCAAATTTTTCTTCATATTCAAGGAGTTGCTGCATGGAGTATTTATTATTTAGCATTTAATTTTCCTGAAGGAGGTTTCTTCATCGCTTACCTAAAAAGTAATATCCTACAAGGAGCAGTAAACCTCCTTGTTTCGGGTGTTGAGAAACTGGGAGACTGATTGAAAGGACTGGGAGGATACTACCTAAAATAAAAGAAACCTAAGATGAAAAATCTGATTGCATTATTTTTAAATGACTTTCAGATGCATTTTGTTCTGTTTCTGGCATTACCTCGTCTAAAAGTAATATGGCATTAATTAGTAATTCGCAGAAAAGGAAATATTTGCCATTTTATTTGTTACTCTGACAATTAGCACCAGATGGGCAATTTGAAACCATGGACCTTGTAAGAGATAGACTAACCCAGTGGGCGGGACGCGCGTCACCGACATGTCGGCAAGAAAGAGTAGAGACGATCTGGTTTACTTTAACACTGAAACACATAACTCTTTTTAATTATTAAATGTGATACGTTGTATAATGATGAGATTATGAAAGCCACAGTTTTTTCCAAATAGGATTTAATATATCTCATTAAAGCACTTTTTACTGCGTTTCGCGCAGTTTTTTTCACGCGTAATTCTTGTACAAACATCTTTACTTTGGTAAAACGGTAAAACTCTAAGCACAAAATTTATAAACTTAATGTTGCGTAAAAATAAAGTAAAATTAAATAAGATTGATAGTACGTGATGGTTTGAAATAAATAAGGTAAAATTAAACAAGATCTTATAAAAATGTTTTTTAATTTAATGAACATTTTAAGGCAGTGATTTTCCAAGCTATAATAACATTACAAAACGATCATATTTATTTGATTACATGATCATTAAATTATTAACATTAAAGTGGATTAGTTATTT